CCCCCCATTAAGAGGCATGAGACAAAATTTGTTCTTTGTTGCCAAAAATCAGAGGTATGTTCTTGAAACACTTTGCTGGCAACTACTTTTGTGTCAGACTCCTTACATCGCTCTGGGTGGACTAGGTAACAGTTCTAAAACATTTTTTAGAGAGTTAAGGAGGAAAGAAAGTGGGGGAATATGGGAAATATGCTCTATCAGAAAAAAAAAAAACAATGATAGTAGCTGACAGTTACCAAGTATTTTTGTGTGTCAGACATTTTACTAAGTGCTTTACATATAATTTTTCATTCCATCCACTCAGACTTCTCTAGGGGGTTATTATTCTTCATGTTATGGAAAATAAAGCTGAGTCTTATTTAAGTTTTGTAATTTTTTCCAGGATTGCACTTGTTTAATATCCTGTTGCACTTTGATGAGGAAGATAGACAAGGCTCAAAGGAGTCAGAGAGTAATGTGTATATAATTGATAAAAGAAATGTTCTATCAGATGGGGGGAACTGATATTGAAGATCTGACTTCACCAAGAGCAGCCTAACCCACATCACAATCCCAGACTTTACCCTGTACTACAAAGCTATAATCATCAAGACAGTATAGTACTGGCACAAAAACAGACATATAGACCAATGGAATAGAATAGAGAACGCAGAATTGGACCCAAATGGATGGCCAACTAATCTTTGACAAAGCAGGAAAGAGTATCCAATGGAAAAAAGACAGTCTCTTTTGCAAATGGTGCTGGGAGAACTGGACAGCAACATGCAGAAGAATGAAACTGGACCGCTGTCTTACACCATAAACAAAAATAAACTCAAAATGGATGAAAGACCTAAATGTGAGACAGGAAACCATCAAATTCCTAGAGGAGAAAATAGACAACAACCTCTTTGACCTCAGGTGCAGCAACTTCTTACTTGACATGTCTCCAAAGGCAAGAGAAATAAAAGCAAAAATGAACTATTGGGACCTCATCAAGATAAAAAGCTTCTGCACTGCAAAGGAAACAATGAACAAAACTAAAAGGCAGGCAACAGAATTGGAGAAGATATTTGCAAATGACATATCTGATAAAGGGTTAGTATCCAAAATCTATAAAGAACTTACCAAACTCAACACCCAAAAAACAAATAATCCAGTGAAGAAATGGGAAGACATGAACACTCTTCCAAAGAAGGCAACCAAATGGCTAATGTAGATGGCTAATGGCTCATACTTCTTATATGCAGAAGTTGAGAAACTTCACAGAAGACCATGGGGAAAGGGAAAAGAATATATATATATATATATATATATATATATATATATATATATATATATATATA